CATGGAAATAAGAATACTCAATAAGGGTTTCCAAATTCTGGAGGGGTCAATCAGGGAGAAAAGATAAGTGTTTCATTTCTGCTTATGGAAATATACTCTACTAAATGGTCCTGAGTTATAGGTAACTTAATATAAGGGGGAAAGGAGTTCCTTAAATCCAAAAAAAAATAAAACATTAAATAAAGAAGCAGAAATGTTCCAAACAAAACTGCAGTCATCTGTCATTGGTTAATGCAATTCCATGTAAATCATTAGTGTTGGTTTGATCTTGGGTTAGCAGCTTTATGAACCCGTCAGCTTCTCTGCTAGTCCGGACAACCTTACCCAGTCCACTGGTATGATCTCAAAGTTGGCCAATGTCATCAGAAGCTTGTTCCTCAGAGTACCTGTTATAGTCCTTTCCTTGGGTCTCAGAAATAGTCCATTCGGATGAAGACTAAGTATTTTGGCTACCCGCTGATTGCAAGGGCTTTCAGGAAAGCATCAGAGAAAAACAATAGCTATCTGTAAATGACAAAAGGCTTAAGCTGGCCATGCTTAAAGATCTGATGAGGATGTATTATAATCCAATTGACAAGGAAGTGTGTTTGTCTCTGTAAAATGCAACATCTTCAAATAATAACTGGAATCAAGACTGATGACATTGTATTAGGACATATGGACAGCAAGGTCATTGACAAATTTACATGAACTCCATACATTTTTTTAATCCTCAGCCAAGGATTTGTTTATTAATTTTTTTAAAGTGAGCGGAAAAGAAAGAGGGAAAGAGAGCGAGCGAGAGAAACATTGATGAGAAAGAGAAATATCTATCTGTACGCACCCTGACCTGGGATTGAACCACAACCTAGGTATGTGCCCTGACTGGGAATGGAACCCACAACTGCTTTTGGTGCATGGGACGACACTCAACCAACTGAGCCACCAACCAGGGCTGAACTTCATACGTTTTTAAAAATATTTATACTACTTTAAATATTTACCCATACAAATATAACTTAGAAAAAGCTAAAGCATCTCTTATTCGATGCCTTTCACGCAATTTAATTTGTCAAGTAAACCAAATTATTTTTAGCATCTCTCTTTTCACAAGGTGGAAGAACAAATCCTTTGAGATTTTCCAGGCCCTCTGAAAGGACCAGTTTGAGATCAAGATTTCATTTAGGACTTGATTTGGGAGAAGCAAAATTGTCAAAAATATAAAAAACAAACAAACAAACAAAAAGAACCCTTTGCTCTTTTAAAAGTGAGACATCTGGGCTCTCTTAAAAATACCAGTTCCAATAAAACACAAAATCTTTGTTTCCTGTACAGTTTACTCAAGAGGTAAAGAAAAATCTTTTACAATCTCTTATAAAGAGCAGACCAATGATCTAAGAAACCTTGGCTGTTTTAACTGAGAAAACCAACTTCTAGTTTTGCATTCATATATTGGTGTGCTCATTTTTAAAAACCTTATAAATAAATCAGTTCGATTTTACCCAGCTTGACTGCCTATAAAATTCCTTTTCCACAAACCCTTTACAACTTTCTATATCCACTCAAAAATTGTTTTGTCCTACATTTTTCCTCTTTCTCATTCTGTAACAATTTTTAAACACCCTCTGAACAACGGCTTTAAAACAAATTACTCTCCTTTTTTAAAAAACGAAAATGTATCCTACATTCTTGCATATTTTGCATACAGTTTTTTCTTCATCCTTATTATTCTTAGTAGTTTTGTTTAAATATATTAATTAGAATTCTTAACCCTGAGTAAACTTAATTTCCAGTGGATACAAGGAAATAGACCATTGTTAACTGGCTTCCACATAGCAACATTCTATAGTAAATTAGCAAATTTTATAAATATACCATCTCACAATTTTCTCTAATATAACTTTTTATGTTTATCAAGAGACCCAAATATATTTCTCTATCCCATATAAAAAGAAGCCAAAAGTATATAAGCTTAAACTTATGCTTGGTAATTCATATTCAGTAGTTTAACTTACTTAGAAATGATCTATATATTTAATGTATGCTGATCCCTTAATTTCATTTTACATAACTCTGAGGTTACAAGTTACTAAAAAGATTTTGGAAACTGTTCTTAGGCAGACATCTTACAACATTAAACAAAGCTAGCCTCATCTCAGGTTATTCCCCTGCTAACTGTTTTTACAGCCCATGCATGTTAGGCAAGTATCATAAAAGCCAAATCCTAAAAAACTTAAAGACATGGCTTTCTTGGTTTACTGTGGTGTTTGGTCTACATGAAGTAGTAGAATCAAAGAATTCATTCTTGCTGCATCTTTACTTGTGCACTTGTTCTTACATTGAATTTATAATATTTTTAATTGTAAGCATCTAGTAGATATAATGTTACCCTATTTAACTAGTAAACCTGAGTAGAATAAAGTGTATGCTCATATTATACTTTACTGTTGATAACTCCGAAGACATGGCTGTTTTTGTTAAACCAGTGATATTAAACTGGTCTTATTTATCAAAGATTTGCTCAAATCTTTGAACATGGGCTTAAAAATATTTGTGTTAGTTTCTATATTTTTGAGTATTTTAGGAATACTGAATGTATGTAAGTGCTTGTTTATCTCGAAGTCATTTTGAATGGGAGCTTTATAAATGAATTTGGTAATACCATCTTGAGTAGGAAAATATTACATATACATTACATACTCACATACACACATACTGATGATACAAATAGAGATCTTAATAGGTTTTATTCTAAATATTTAGCCATGATTAAGTAAAACATAGTGATACCGAGTCATTGGTTTAAATAAAATAGATCACATCTTTGTTTGCTCCATTTTATATTACTTATCCAAATTATGTTTTTGGCAGATGAAACAAATTGAGGTTACTTATTCAACATGAGGGCTAATGCTTTGTACCAATATTTGTGGAAAGGACTTTTAAGGCTTTTCATGTGTCCTACTATGTAATCTTACAAAGGCTGTGGACTGCATTTTAGGCAAGAGACTCAGGGGACATCCAGCAGTCATCTGGATGTCCCCAAGGCCTGTCTGAATGAACAAAATATCATGTTTCCAATGAGCCTTTTTCCTTTTTAGCTTTAGGAGTTGTTTTCGGGGACCCCTGAGTCCTGTTGGGGCCCCTTAATAGGCTAGGGGGTGTGCAGAAGTGATTCAAGTGACTGTAGGAAGTTGAGGGGCTGGCGTGGGCAGGGAAAGGGGATGGCGGGCTGGACAGAGGGGTGAGAAGGTAGAGATTTAAAGGAGGTCCTATGAATAGATGCATGGGTACTGAAGGGAAGACCAAAGGTGGTAAGAGAAGGAGATGGGAAGGAAGAGGCCTTAGAGGAACCAGTTTGTGGAGGCCTCAAGTTTCCCAAAGAAGCCAGCGAAGTTCCAAATTCAGCAGGGGTTTGAGAAGTGGGGTTTCAGTTGACTAGGAAGTTCCTTTGGGAGGAGCAGGATCAACTAGGGAGAACAGAGACGCTTCCCAAAGAGCCAGGGAAAAATGTCCAGCCTAGAGAGTTAGGGAACGCCTCCCTCCTCAAAAGAAAGAGTCTGGAAGGATGACTTCCGGCCCAGTAGGCACTTTTCAGACACATCAGCCTGGAATTCTAACCAGCTTCAGGGAGAAACTCGAACCTTAGGAATCAAAGCCTGACCTCACCACACGGCAGCAGGCACTGATCCCCAGCCCTGGCTCAGGAGCTGGACTCACCAATGGACCCTGATCCACCAGACAAAGGCTTCCAAGGTGCACACTTGGGGTCCTGGCTGAGTGGCCTGGGGTCCAATGATGAATCAGATATCACCCGAGTCACAGCACCACGGCCGTTAGAAAACCAGATGCTGGACAGTCGGTTCAGTGGTAGAAACAGATTTTATTCAAGACTATTGCAACAGGGGGCAGTATAGCACTGGGCTCCGTTCTTAATACAACAATCACAAAGCCACATTTTTCTTAAGTGGGGATTTAGAGGAGCCGGAGGTGGGTTGGGGGATGGAAAATTGCTAAGAGGGTAAGATAATTCTTGCTACACGGACCTAATAGGATTCTTGCTGAGGGCAGGCCAGATCAGACGATGGAGGATGTGGAATCTGGTCAGACATTGAAGGTGGGTGGGGATTCTTGCTAAAATGACAAGGCAGGATTCTTGCTACAGCTAGGCGATGCTGAGTTGGACATGGAAACCCAAAGGTTGGTAAGAGGTCTCAGGAGCCTGACTGAAGATTGGCCAAGGAGAACACCTTTGGCAATGGCAGCTCCTAGACCAATGTAAAGCAAGCGTAGCCCTGTCCACAAACCTTAGCATAAAAGATCTCACTAAGCTGAAAGGACTCGTAAGGAAGGAGAGAACCTCTGAATTGCAGGAACCCCTTCCTCAAAAAATGTGACCCTCACTCCTCCTCTCCACCTTCAGACTCTTCAACCCAGCTCCACACCTCTGATCTAGACATCTGACCCTCACCCCTCTCTCCCCTTCTCCCCACCCTTTCCTCCTCCCCAGGCTGCTCCCTCCCGGCCTCCCTGAATCTTCTGCTCAGCTTCCTGCCTGGGCCTTTTTTTCCCTTTTCACCCAGGCGGGTCCCAGCCCTCAGCCTTTCCTCCCCAGGCCTAAGGTCTTTCCACCCACTGGCCTGGCGGCTGCATGAGGGGAGGTGCAGCGGGAGAGGCTGAGGGCTGGGCCCTGCCTTCTCCTGTGTTTGTCAGAGACCTGGGGGCCTGAGGCCTCTCTCTCAGGTCTCGTCTTCCACACACAGGAGTGACCCCAACAAGCCACACGTTCCCTGCCAAGTCCAGGACCAACAGCAGGACACGGACACGCCCAGTACTGGGCTGGAGGACCCCGGTGGCCACAGTCAGGGCCCAGGCCTTCCTGAGTCCTCTGGGGACCAGCCTTGCTGGAGGGCTCCAGGGAGAAGGTGGCAGGGTAGCCCGTAGGCTCCAGGTCCACCCCCACCTCTGCCTGCTCCATGTGCCTGGTCCCCAGAGCAGGAACTGCCACCCCTCTTCTCTGTCAGCCTCCAGAGGGCACTAGGGCAGTGCAGGGGGTGGCGAGGAGGCGGGGCTACAGGTCTCCTTCTTGGGCCGCTCGTAGATGCTGCAGTTGGGGGTGGTGCCCTGGCAGTAGATGTTGAGGTAGTTGCGATGCTTCTCATTGTACGTCTGCCTCTGGAAGCACAGAGCCACGCTCTTGTCGCACTCGCAGGTCTGCCTGTCGCAGTCCGTCTGGTTGCGATCTCCTATGGGGAGGGGAGTGCATGCACTCTGAGGGTCCAGTGGTCCGGGGCCAGCTGCACCAGCACCCCCGGCAGGCCCACCCCAGGCCTGTGAGCTCCGAAGCGCTGGGCTGGGCAGCCTGCGTTAACAGCCCTCCAGGTGGCTTGTGTGCATGCTGGCCTCGGAGAGCCACTCAAGGCCAGCATGTCATTGCATCGTTGGGAAACTGAGGCTCGGAGGGGGATGGGTTTACCTAAGTCACCAACACACCCAAGGCAGAGCTGGGACGAGAACTCTCTCCCATCACAGAATTGTGGACACCCACCCTGGAGGGCGTTTGTGCTAAGGATCCAATGAGGAAAACACTTCCTCCCACTGAGCAAATGCCTGATGCATGGTCACCGCTGCTGCTGTTGCTGCTGTTATTAATATTAGCCTCCGGAAATCATTTACCCCAGTAATTCCCAACCTGAGGTGTGCGTTCGAACCAGCTGGCAGGCTTGTGAAAACACACTGCCCAGCCCCACCCCTAGAGCTTCGGACTCAGTAGGTCAGGCGGGGCCTGATCACCTGCATTTCTGACAAGTGCCATGGTGATGCCGAAGCCCCAGGTTGGGGAAACACCCTTTGAGAACCACCCACTAGCCACTGGTTTGCAAATATTTCAACCTTTCCATCAACAGAATCCTTTCTCTTAAATGAAACTCTTTGCCGAAGGCTAATACATCGAACAGCTGAAAGAGAAGCCTCTTAAACTGTAATATACATTAAAGAGCCAGCTGGACCACTCAGGGACCCCCATCCCCCGCCCCCCCCACCATCACCTCTCACAGCAGCTATTCCCCCTGCCCCAGGAATCCCCAGAAGTTACCATGAAAACCACTGCTTGGGGTTTAAATGGAGGGACACCCCCTCTTTCAAGCCAGCCCCTCGGCCCCATGTTTGAACAGCAGCATAGGAGGCCCACAGAGCCCCGAGTTCCCAAGGGCCCAGGCGTGCCCAGTCCCCGTTCCCCCCCCCCCCCCCCCCCCCCCCCCCCCCCCCCCCCCTCCCCCCCACCCCGGGCCCCGGGTGCTTT